CCTGTTGATTTGAAAACACTTGAGCATTGGACGGAAATGTCGAAAGTCTCTGAATGTTCTTGCTTTTTGCTGTCTGTAATCACGATTCAGACGTGCAGCTGATTTAATGTGCTCTGCACATGCTTGTCTTTGCACTGTTGAGGGAATTCACTAGCATTTGGGGAAACGGGGACATTTTATCCGGGGATAGAGGAGAGGAGGACTCTGCTCAGTAAAGATTTCGATCTCGCGTTTCTGAAGCGCACAATCCAAATCCATGTCGGAGATGGTCACTGAGTCTTCCTTTTCTGAACACACACACACGGAAGGTTATTAGAAGTATCAAAGGTTTCAGATAACATGGGCCTGAGGAAGATGACATCACCAGATTTGCAGGAATTCACTGTATGTGTGTGTCCTGTGAGGCTGGGAGGTTCAACACAGTTTAGTATTTACTCGGTTCACAAGGTTCACTGACATACAAGATAATAGATAAACCTGTATGCAACCTGTCAGGTAGGATATTTTTTTTTCAGTGTTCTTTTATGACGGTAAAATCATTTAGCATGAAGGAAAATACAAATTTGACTGTGTACGCTTAGACCCAAGTCTTATTGCTTTTATAAAATGCTGACAATAACAATAAACAGAAATCAATAGTAATAAAAATAAATAATTTCATTTTTTTATTTTTATATTTAGTCCCTTTTGGGGCCGGAAACATGTGCTGAATTATTTAAAGCACTATATTAATGTGACTGACAACAAAGACAAAAATTAGAGTAAATATCAGTATGGCATATGCAATTGGGAAGATACATTTTTCCCCCCACTAACATGCTTCTTGTTTTTTTGGCCTTTACTTAGATAGTATAGTAGGTGACCGAACCGAAGGGAAGCGAAGCGAAGTGGGAGAAGGAGAGAGAGAGAGAGGGGAGGGTCAAACTCGGGACGTCCCAAATTATCGGATGACTGCTCACGAGGCTATCAGCTCCAACGTGTCTTACGTTTTTAAATGCAAAAAATGAGAGACGCAGGGTAGTGGAATGAAAAAAAGAGCAAGCTCTGCATCTGAAATCGAATACTTCTCATAAATTATGCAATAAACAGCATTCCAAAAGAGTAGTATGTCCGAATACTTACTACTTCCGCTGAGATTCTGGAGTGCGACTTCAATGGACTTTACTCTCCCATGAGGAAGAGAAGATTTAAGATTTGCCTTCACACGTGTTACCGGAATTATAATAAAAAATAAGTTTCCTAGTCGGAAATTAGACATGAACGCCATCTCAAGGTGTATTTACTACTGGAAATTTCTGAGATAATTTTGATTCCTGAGTTTTCAAGTTGGACATGCCATGAACTTTAAACATGACAGAGGGGAGAACGATTGCTACATCACTTTGTCTTGTCAATAAAGTAGTGCATAACCATTTGAAGAATATCATAATGTTTTATACACAGCGAAAAATAGCATGCATTTGACAGAAAATCCAGAATCGTCAGCAAGCTGACCATTTCGATTTTGCGGTAAATGTAAACGAATGGGACGCTGCATTTTATTCAGAATGAAATATCTTCACTACATTTTGGCTTAAATCTTTCCCCAAGAAATAAGAAAGAATAAACCTGGTGTTCTCCATAATTCCTATTCTTTCTGACAACAAAGCACTTGATTGCGTCAAGCTCGTAATCACGACTTTAGAAATGGGAAGTAGGAAATCATGTGAAGGCAGCGTTATGAATGGCAGTGAAGCGACGCAACTGATGCTGGAAGGTCACATGACAGTAACAACATGCCAGATGTAGTACGTCCAAATTTAATATACTATTTCATACCTTATAGAACTTATATACTTATATAGAGCTATACTTTTTTTTTAACAGATGTAAAGTAAATTCAAATGTAGTATCTACTCAGTATGCGATTTTTCGATGCACCTAAGGTCTAGAACTTTCTTAGCTTTAGTGCTCCATTTTTAGATCACTGCGTCGTGTGCGGGACTCAATAAGCATGTTAACATAGAAAAGCAATGGGAAAGCTTTGAAAAATGTGAAAACTTTTTTTTATGTCAACGGCCTGTTAGACTGTTTATGGTTGCCAGGCAACATAGCAGCCTAGCGTATTGATATGTATGTAGTGTACAACTTCAAATGTAGCTCATCCAATCAGAAATTTGATATGTTTTGTATTCAATATCAATTATGTTCTGATTGTCTGTGGAATCAGAATGGATTTGCTATTTAAAGGTGCATAATATTTAAAGGAGCATTCCGTTCTTTAGCTAGCGTTAGCATCGTTGTTCTTCGTGTACTTTTAATACAGATACCACAATGCTGTTAGTTGCTGTTTTGAGTTTCGGAGTGCGGTCTACACCACAATTAATTCCCTTACCGTCCAACAAAAATAGAAGAAACTTGGGCATCACTAATCTTTCCACCTTAAGTATGATGTGCCGATGTTTACGCTCGTTTTTTTTGTTGGTCAGGTCAAGGCAAAACTTAATGTTGGTCTTTCTATCTTCATACCTTTTCTGCTTTTTCATCTGGGCAGGTACAGATTCTAATTTGCACGCTTTGCATCACCAAACAACACTATGCTACTGGCGTATCTACAGAGGCAGCCAATGAGCGTGAAGATTCTCTTCGACATTTAGTAAAACACTGCAGGTCACATCATTTCCACATAGCAAAACACAATAGTATTATCCATATAATATTTTCTCATGTGAGTGTACACCATTCAAATAACTCTTCACAAAAAAAACACACAATATATTTGTTAATATGTAATACTTTTTAAATTAGCACCAAACTACCCAATGCACCTTTAATATAAAGCGGATAGTTAAATTTTTGCTGACACAACAGTGCTGATTGTGTGGGTTCACACAGCATGTTGCCCTCAATGTGGGGAGGTGGATTTGATGCTGGAAACTTAATTAGGCCAAGTAACTTTTACCTTAAAGGAGCTGTATGTAAGATTGTGGCCAAAACTGGTACTGCAATCACTTTCAAATTACTGTAGAGCGGTGTATCCCCTCCCCCTCCTCCCTGACTCGAGGTTGCCAGATAGGCTGCAGGATCCAGCAGGAACGTAGTCTGCTCCAAGAAGTGGTAACTAGAGCAGAGCTGGCAACCCGGATCCCGCAACACTACTGACTTCGTGATTGGTAGATAGGTGGAGGGTGGAGCATCAGACCAAAACACAACATGACAACATCAACATCAGTTGAGGGCTGCAACTGCACTTTTAAATGACAATATCCTGGCCGGACTACTGTTGTCAGTGATATAAGTATTTGAAATGAACATGATTTCTTAATGTCTAGTGACATATCAGGGCCATTTTATGATTAATTGAAATAAATTTCTTACATACAGCTCCTTTAAACGTTATTTCTCCTGTTAGTCTTGGTGCACGTTTTCAGCGAGCCTGTCTCTCGTCTTGTCTCAGAGCACAACCCCTTTCACCTCTCTTCCCTCTCATTCTTCCCCTCCCACCCTCATGTCGCAGGGCCCCCTTGCTTTCCATAACAAAAGCCTGTCTAACTTGAGCGTGTGTGAGACGTTTGCGTGGCAAAGGGAAGCTGCTTGTGTGTGTGTGTGTAAGCTGCCCCCACAATTACCCCATCTCTGTGTCCCTCTGAGCATTTTGACGTGTCAGGTGTCACCGACATCTGTGCAAATGAGCCGTTTTTTTTGTGTGCGTAACCTTTTTTTTTAATCCAACACTTAGGGTCTGTTACAGATCAGAGTGTTTTCATTTGGGATTCTGTTCAAAGCACGTATGTTGTTGCGTTAAACAACAACCTTGAAGCAATTTTTAATTTTTTTGAAATGCATCACACTTGCAGAGTTTCCACATTTAGAGAGCTAATTTAAGTTTGCACATGCTGGGATGTTTTTCGTTAGTTAACTGAGGTAATCGGAACACTGACACGAAATCGGAATTCTTCGATTATGAGCTAAGAGTTTTTGTGGCGTTTGACTTGTACACACACACACACATTGTTGTCCTTTTGCCCTTTTTCTTACCCCCCCCTCTTCCCCTTCTTTTTATTTTAAAGACCCCCAGCTGGAAAGCTGAGGTTTTTGGCCACAGTGTTTCAATGCTTTCTGCAAGCAACACATAGTTGCACTCACCAGAGAATTGGCTAATCAAACTTGGGCCCGTGTTTCTAGTCAAGCTCTGGAGATTTGGGTTTTGAAGCACACACAGGCCTTCAGAAAGCTTTCTCTTCAAAGAAACACGCACACATGCTTTTACCAGAACCGTCTACGATAGCAATTCTAAAGCAGATTTACAGGTCTGAAACACAAGGACATGTTTTAAAAACATTAAACCGTGGTATTGGACTTAAAGTGAAAAGCTGCCGTTTTTATGAAAATACTTAACAAAAATGTAATCTTGCCTGTTTCAGTAATGGATTTTAGTTTTTTTCTATGATAATGTTATATCAAAGTTTATTTAAGCCAAGTCAGGTTACTTGGCAGCCAGAATCGGGCAGCTTGTCATGCAATGGGGAAAGAGCAAAATCGGTTTGTCGAAAGAACATTTCAATAACATACATCAAATCAAGATTAAAATCTGACATCGATAGTATGATATACTTTGCTGCTTGAACTCAAATCACGCTAAAAACATTTGTGCCTTTCCAGCTAATGTGCAAGTGCGTTCTAGTGTAAAAACCCCCGAAATGAATGACTTTTAAATGTAAGGTAGCACTTTCATTCCTACAGCCACTGCATTGAGGGTTACGTTTTCTCCCATTCATATATTCACGTGTGGGCCGTATACCACTTTAGTTAGAGGTGGATGTCTGTTGGATGTGCATAAGTAATCAATTGGTCGAGATTTTGCACCATATTAAATTTGAACGCATATTTTAAGTTGACCTTTAATCAATTACGTTGGTTTTAATTATGTGTTCGAGTGTGTGGCTACAGAATTACTCACAATTCCCATTACTCTCTAATATTTTCTGTCTTATGTGTTTCTTTTCCTTCTGTGATTTCAGAGAAGCCATGCGAAATTACCTGAAGGAACGAGGAGACCAAACTGTGCTCATCCTCCACGCTAAAGTTGCACAGAAATCATACGGCAATGAAAAAAGGTAAATGACCACTGTGAATCTTGATAAATGCACGGGATGAAATTTTGAAAATCACTTTTTTTTTTTTTTTTATAATTATTAAATCTTTAGTAGTTGCAATGCGTCTCACTTTTTTTTCAATTTTTTACGCCATGAGCTTTGCAATTTTAAGACACATTAAAAATAGTTCCACTTTTATCCCCTGTTCCATTCCTAAGCTCTCCGTCTGTGTTTTTGAGCACAAAAACGTATCCCATGTGAAACCCCTTATGCTGTCCATCTCTTGCTTAAACTAGGAAAATTAGGGTTTTTAGGGAAGACTGGAGTAAGATGAAGAGGTGAAAGGACAAGAGAAGGAAAGAACATTTTTAAGAAGAAAAAAAGGAGTGAGAGAGAAGCTGATAAGTAAAGAAACCAAATAATGACAGGAAAGAGAAAAGAAATGATTAAGGAGGTGAGGTGATATGAGACAGGGAAGTGAAGAAGAGAAGGTCAGCTGAAAGAGAGACAAGATGATAACTGTAGAGAAACACAGTGTCTGGGGAACTGATGTCGCGGTTACAGCTCGCTCGGCCTCATTTGGCAGAGAGACAGCACTGTTATTCGTGAACAGCACAGCCAAAACCTGGACACTTGTCAAGAGCGACAGAATGCCAGATGAGAGCAAAATTATGCGCTTCATGAAATCATATACATGTGTTCTGTAATCAGAGATGGTTTATGTCTAGGAAATGTATCACTTAGCTTCAATTGGAAATGAATGTGAAGCACTTGACTTGTTGCACTAGTTCTGCTTCTTTTAAAATTCCTAATGGTTACTATTACTGTTGTGTACACCCTAATTAACACTTAGGGCACCATAGCTACACCCTGGAGAGCAACCACATAGCAACTCCCTGCAAACCAATGCCATAACAACCACCCAAAACACCCTAGGGTCACTGTGATTTTGTAAGACATGTTCCTGGATCAACATATTTTGTTGATCCTGAAACAACATTCCTGTCCAAAAACAGTCCTAATCTTACCCCTACCCCTAAACATAACCCTACCCATAATTTATCTCTAAAATCAGAGGGAAATGCTATGTGAATAACACGGATGTAGAAGCACCTAACCCTGGTTGTAAGCCTAAACTTGTAAACAAACTTTAAACTTGTCCCTCAAATCTGATTGGTTGATTGGACTGTTGTTCCAGGATCAACAAACATGTTGTACTTGGTTAGCAGCATTTTGTCATTTTGTACGTGCTTGGTTAGCATTTCGGTGGTGAGATCAGATTTGTGCAACTGTTTCCATCAGAAAATGTCAAACTACAAAGTTGTCTTTGTAGCTGTATGTTGTAAAGTCGTGGTTTTACATGGTGGTGAACATTAAAATGACATCAGAAATGTTATATACAGTAGATTAAACCAACACGTCGTTGCTGCCTTGTCAATGACTAATCGATACAGATCAAACTCGTACGTCTACTGGTCCTGACTACGACATGCGCCTTTCACTATTAGGATGTGAAAGTAGACTTCAGACATGTCTTTTCCTTTTTCATTTCAATGACACCAATACAGAAAAAAATTGATTTAACAACTCTTGAGGTTGGGTCTGTCCCCTAACTCATATCTACAGCATCTCTCAGTCTGACTGGATGTGGAACCGCTGTTATTCCCCTTTTATTGCACCAGTTTTCAGATATCAGCTGCAGTTTTGTGTCATGAGCATTCCCCCGCCTCACGTCTAGACGTTTACAAGCGTTTCTCCAAGATGTGCGGTGAGCTGATAACGTCACCCACAGAGATCACAGGTTTAATGTCAAGTGCAGATTCCGTGCTTCCGTATTCAAGGTCACGCTGATTGATATCTGTTTGCTCTAACATCCCTTTGATGATGTAGGCCACAATATGCACGAGATGAGCAAAGATGACATAGACCCCAGACTCTGGTGGGGCGCAGGACGTGACGTGCTCCTGAGTTCTGAAATGTACCTTCTGTGCAGCTTTGCGTAGGTTCGGGTTTTCAGTGTTTTAGATTGACCATCTGATGGTGGTTTCTTGAGTTTGTCCTGCAAGTGAAGGCTGTACCAACACTACACATGTTCTGCTGCCACCTAGTGCTGATCTAAAGTACTTCTGATAGGTCATGTACACTTGATGCGTAATGTACAGCTATTCATTCATTCATGGAACAGTTGTGTTCCATGGCAGCTTTTATTTATTTATTTGATTGTTTTTTTTTGTTTATGTTTTAAATATTCATTCATTATTTCATTTTAATCCTGCCCAGAAGTAGCTCTAAATATCTATCTATCTATCTATCTATCTATCTATCTATCTATCTATCTATCTATCTATCTATCTATCTATCTATCTATCTATCTATCTATCTATCTATCTATCTATCTATCTATCTATCTATCTATCTATCTATCTACCACTTTGTCTGTCTGTCTATCTATCTATCTATCTATCTATCTATCTATCTATCTATCTATCTATCTATCTATCTATCTATCTATCTATCTATCTATCTATCTATCTATCTATCTATCTATCTATCTATCTATCTATCGTCCATCATCCATCATCCATCATCCATCATCCATCATCCATCACATCACATAATATATAAAGTATTCCATCCATCTCTCATGCAGTGTTTGTTTCCATCATCCATCCAGCGCAAAATATATGAAGTATTCCATCCATCCATCCATCCATCCATCCATCCATCGATCCATCCATCCATCCATCCATCCATCCATCCATCCATCCATCCATCCATCCATCCATCCATCCATCCATCACATAACATGAAGTATCCAGCTATACATCTCATGCAGTGTTTGTTTCCATCCACCATCCATCCATCCGCATAATATGAAGTATTCCATCCATCCATCCATCCATCCGCATAATATGAAGTATTCCATCCATCCATCCATCCATCCGCATAATATGAAGTATTCCATCCATCCATCCATCCGCATAATATGAAGTATTCCATACATCCATCCGCATTATTTGAAGTATTCCATCCATCCATTCATTCGCATTATATGAAGTATTCCATCCATCCATCTATCCACATTATATGAAGTATTCCATCCATCCATCCATCCATCGGATAATATGAAGTATTCCATCCATCCATCCGCATAATATGAAGTATTCCATGCATCCATCCATCGCATAATATGAAGTATTCCATCCATCCATCCATCCATCGGATAATATGAAGTATTCCATCCATCCATCCATCCATCCATCCATCGCATAATATGAAGTATTTCATCCATCCATCCTCATTATATGAAGTATTCCATCCATCCGCATTATATGAAGTATTCCATCCATCCATCCATCGGATAATATGAAGTATTCCACATCCGTCCATCCGCATAATATGAAGTATTCCATCCATACATCCATCGCATAATATGAAGTATTCCATACATCTATCCATCGCATAATATGAAGTATTCCATCCATACATCCATCGCATAATATGAAGTATTCCATACATCTATCCATCGCATAATATATGAAGTATTTCATCCATCCATCCATCCATCCATCCATCCATCCATCCATCCATCACATAATATGAAGTATTCCATCCATCCATCCATCATATCACACAATATATGAAGTATTTCATCCATCTCATACACTGTTTGTTTCCATCCATCGCACAATATATGAAGTGTTCCATCTCATCCATTGTTTGCGTCCGTACGTGCGTATGTATGATATTCTGTCTAAATACATCTAAATATACTAAATTGGCTACTTTAAATTTGTGCCAGCAATGGATGCACGACTCACATTTTGTTCTGAAAAGGCCAAAAATAAATGAGCATGGCCCATATGCCATGCTTTGATATCTTTAATGAACAGTGTATGTTCTCCGCAAACACTTCTCTATCTTACAGTAACACTCTTAATTTTTGTGTTTGTCTAGGTTTTTCTGTCCTCCCCCATGCGTGTATCTGATGGGCTGTGGATGGAAGAAGAAGAGAGAGCAGATGGAGCGAGACGGCTGCTCGGAGCAGGAGTCTCAGCCCTGCGCCTTCATTGGCATCGGCAACAGCGATCAGGAGATGCAGCAGCTAAACTTAGAGGGCAAGGTAACACATGCACAGATGCAAACCGCAAGAGCTACTACAGAGCCAAAACAACATGATTAGCATACCATTATTTTTCTCTTGAATACGCAAATCTGGCCTCTTCCCCGCAGAACTATTGCACAGCCAAAACATTATACATCTCCGACTCCGACAAAAGGAAGCACTTCATGCTGTCAGTAAAGATGTTCTACGGCAACAGCGCAGACATCGGCGTCTTCCTCAGCAAGAGAATAAAGGTCATCTCCAAACCTTCGAAAAAAAAGCAGTCCCTCAAAAATGCAGACCGTGAGTGTATTCACCATCCATATCACCCTCAATAGAAACACCTACAATTCTTTTGAGACTGTTAAAAATAAAGCATAACTGGGATAAATAATAATAACATCCTGTTGTGTAATAACTTTACATAGAAATGAGATATTGATTCAAACAGCACGTTCTAAAGTCTCTGTGGTGTGTTCTGACAGAGTTGTGTGTCTCTCCCGTGTGCAGTCTGTATAGCATCAGGAACGAAAGTGGCGTTATTTAACCGGCTTCGCTCTCAAACGGTCAGCACACGTTACCTGCACGTAGAGGGAGGAAACTTTCACGCCAGCTCACAGCAGTGGGGAGCCTTCTTCATCCACCTCTGTAAGTCCAACACACATTCTGTGGAGTAATGTTGATTGTCAAATCGTTAAAGGACTACATAACCAAAAAATGAACATTTGCTGAATGTGACTTTCTTTCATTAGTAGAACATTAAAGATGATTTTTTTTTAGCCAAGTCTTTGAGAGTCAAAAAAGGCTCCTGACAATATATTAAGGTCTAATAAAGCAAAACGATCGGTCTGTGCAAGAACTGTTCAAGGGACACTATCCTTGTCATAACTTGGATATATACAATACTGTTCAAAAGTTTGCCATTGGTAAGATTCTTTTGGAAAGAAGTCTCTTATGCTGCATTTATTTGATCAAAAAGATAGTAAAAAATAAATAATATTGTGTATTATGATGTACAATTTAACATTACTGTTTTCTATTTTAAATGTAATGTAATCCTGTGATTGGTAAAGCTGAATTTTCAGCATCTTCAATGTCACATGATCTTTCAGGAATCATTCTAATATATGCTGATTTGCTGCTCAAGAAATATTTCTTATTATTATCAATGTTAAAAACAGTTGAAAATAACAAAACAAAACAGTTTTACTGCTTAATATTTTGATGGAAACTGATACATTATTTTCAGGATTCTTTGATGAATAGAAAGTTCAAAAGAACAGCATTTATTTGAAATAGAATGTTTTTGTAACAATATGTCTTTTTATGTATTTACTGTCACTTTTTTTAATTTAATGCATCCTTGCTGAAAAGAACTAATTAATAAAAAATAAAAAAAACAACAACAACAACGTACTGACTCCAAACTTTTGAGCGGCACTTTAGTTCAAAGTACAAAGTGTTTTTAAACTATTACACTCTCTGTTAATATTATTTTTTGGCCTTATTAGAAATCTGACCAACCACAGTTCACTTGGTGTTTGTGATGTTTAAGAGGAGGTTAATTAGCCTGGGAAAAAAACGGTGGGGCGGGCTTTACACGATGACGACAGCGCTGGGATTTTGACAAGGGGGTAATCCATCAGCCGGAAGTTGAAGCTGCCTCCGGGGGCCGCCATTGTAGCTGGCTATCACCTGCTGTTAGCATCCCATTGACTCCCATTCATTTTGGCGTCACTTTGACAGCGAATAACTTTACATCTGAGGCGTCCAAAGACTCCATTTGTCCATTATTTATTTCTAAAGAAACACGACAATGTATAAAAGGCTCCATTACTTTGTATCTTACGTTATGGCCCCGTAGAAGCCATTCTTGTAAAAATAGGCTAACAATTGCGTCATAACCACGGGACGCTCTGTCGCACAGTAGAGAAATTACCGTATAGACAGAAGTAGAAGCTCGTAGGCAATCGTTTACTGTCTATGAGGCAATCGGTGGACATGGAGGCATAAAGTCAAGGGAGAAGCCCATAGATAGAGAGTTCATAAAAGCAACGGGACAAAATATTTCAACAACAGATTTGTTTGATTTCAATTCAGATTTGTCCCGGCACAGCTACTAGAAGGTCAGAACGGTTGATCACGTGACAACTACGTCGTCAAGCTCAGTTTGAGCCTGCGCAGAACGCTTGGCTATCAGGAAGTGAGTGCCCATGTTGGGCTTCAACTCTCTCCGTTGAAATCAACGGGGTCGCTGTGTCCATTTCTTTTACTGTCTATGGATTTTGAAGCAGATTTTGTAGCCTACATTACAAAGATGGATGCCGCCGTCGAACATCACTCGTTCGAATCAGCTATCGCGTCTGTTTTAAGCGATTTGAACGTTTCCTTTTTGTTAAAAACCGAGCAAAGAACAACACTCGGAGATGTTTCTCCGCCCCTTTGCATACGTCATCTCCTTCATCGCTCTGATTGGTTTTAGGTCTATCCGCGACGTCCCTTGGTGACGCCCCTCTGGAAATGATTCCTGAGTTACAACTGAGAATGGTCTGGTTTTAACCAGGCTAGAGGTTAATCTGATATAAAATAAAATATAACCCTGAGAGCAAAACTGACCACACAGGTTAGGGTTAGTCAAGTCGTCGTGAAATCAAAATTGACCCTATTTACTTTGTTAGCGCACATTACTAGTCTTGTGGTGAACAATTCATCCGTGCAAGTTAATACACAGAAAAAGATTTTTTTTTCGTGGTAATCTTTAATCAAAATCTGAACTTTTGCTTCCGCTCTGAAATGGCGTTCCCTCTCTGATGATGACAGTCATTCTGTCAGTCTGCTATGAGGATGAAGAGGAGGTGCGCTAAAATAAAACCCTTCCCTCTATTCAATATTCCGTTTCACCTGGAAATACGTCACAACACTGAAGTATAGTCAGTTGCAGCTTCTGGTTCACTGGGACTTTAAGCAAAACTTGCTATGCATTTCATTGATTTGATACAGAGAGAAAAGCAAACATTTACGAATCCAGCTAATAGTTCTTTCTCAGAAGCAGCAGCCTTTTTTAACACTGGACATGATTTTGTCTCCTGGCAGAGGGAATAACTCTTATCTTCAATTCCATAAAGCCAGCCAATCACGTTGGAGCTTGTCATTCGGAGTAAACTATTGCCATTGTTGTGCATTAACTTAATAGACCCGTTGCTGTCTATTAAGTCATCAATGTCAATTAAATTGACAAGAAAGAAAGATAAAACTCCTCAGTGTTCTTGATTCATTTCTTTTTTCTTTATTACTGAACGTAACTATTTGTGTGTAATGGAAAAGCATACTGTATATGCCATTGACACTGAACTGTCTGTGTTTTGACAACCATAATGGAGGTCTGATCAGAGGATATGCTTAGTCTTCTTTTATTATGTTTCAGTGGATGATGAAGAGTCGGAGGGAGAGGAGTTCACTGTGCGAGACGGGTACATTCACTACGGCCAAACTGTCAAACTCGTGTGCTCTGTGACTGGCATGGCTCTTCCTAGATTGGTAAGAATCCGTCTCTATTCATCTGACGATTTTCAGCATGTTATCATTTCTCTCTATTGTCCTCTGTTTTGTTTCTATCTGCTGACAGTATATATAATTAACAGTCAGTTTATAAATCTTTAGGGGTCACAATCAGTCACTGCAGAGAATACAATGTTGACGTCCTAATGATACTTCTGCTGATACTCTTATCAACTCCCTTTCCTTCTCCCCGCACACACAGATCATCCGTAAAGTGGACAAGCAGACCGCCTTGCTGGATGCAGATGACCCCGTCTCCCAGCTGCATAAGTGTGCCTTTTTCCTGAAGGATACGGAGAGGATGTACCTGTGCCTTTCTCAAGAGAGGATCATCCAATTTCAAGTGAGTAGCTCACTGGAAACTTTGGAGAAATGCATTTCTTACCGTTGGTTCAATGTGCTGATAATGACTTCAGTGATGTTATTAAAGAGATGCAGTTTGATTTTGTTGGAAATATGTATCCTTCTAAAATCACATATGTACACAAGACCTGATGTTTTTCTTAAATTGAAAGTGTATTGAAAGCTTTTGAAATATTTTTTTTATAATGACCTCCAAACTATATTTGTCTGTTCGTTTGGTTTCTCTCTGTGGCGTCTCTCTTTTTTCATTCCAACATTAATGACACCTTGCACACTTTCTGCTCTTTGTGAGCGAACACAAACGTTTTGCAAGGGAATGCAAAGTTTCTTGGGGGAACGCAAAACATTTGCGAGCGAACGCAAAAGCATTGAGACTTAATTTTTCCTCCCATATGATATTTTTTTTCCATCACCATGTCCATTTCGGGGCTCCGTACTTATGCTCACCAACTCTGCATTTATTTTATTCTAAAAATACAGTTTTATTGTGAAATATTAGTACAATATAAAATAACTATTTTTTTTTATTTTAATATCTTTTAAAATATAATTTGTTCCAGTGATGGCAAAGCTGAATTTTCAGCATCATTACTCCCGTCTTCAGTGTCAAATGATCCTTTTAGAAATCATTCCAATATGATAATTTGGTGGTCAATAAACATTTCTTATTACTATTATTATCAATGTTGAAAACAGCTGTACTGCTTAATATTTTTGTTGAAATTGATACATTTTCCAGTATTCTTTCATGAAAAGATTTATTTTATAAGATTTAAGATTTTATCTATTTTACATAAAAATCGTTTGTGACATTATAAATGTCTTTACTATCACTTTTGATGAATTTATTTGAATTTATTTATTTATTTATTTATTAGAAATTAATTTCTTTCTTCAAACACTCTCCCCCCAACCCCTAAAACTTACTTACCCCAAACTTTGGAAGGGTAGTTTATGGTGGACATAAAACCTTTGACTGATAGCTAGAAGGTCTCAGGTAAAGTAAGAAAAAAAAAACCATCACCCAGAAAAACAAAGATTCGGAAAGAGACACAAAGAGAGAGAGAGCACTTAAAATAGAGGAGGACATGATACATTTGATGTAAATGTTAGCGAACTAGTCAAGTCCATAAAACATCAAATTGATGGCATGTTTATGTATTTAGATCAGCCATCTAATAGGGGGGATGAAGTAATTCGGTCATTATCACAAAATAAACCCTCTCAGGGTGATACAAGTATCCTGATTGTTGGTTTTTATTTTGCGATAATGGCTATTTGATTGTGTATTATCCCTTTTTTAATGCTATTTTTGAGTTCCCTGTATTTATGTGTGTGTGTGTGTAGGCTACTCCATGCCCAAAGGAACCAAATAAAGAGATGATAAATGATGGTGCCTCCTGGACAATCATCAGCACTGATAAAGCAGAATACACGTTCTATGAGGGCATGGGCCCTGTACACACCCCCGTCACACCTGTGCCTGTGGTCGAGAGCTTACAGGTAACCCATACACACACAGAAGCTTGCATCTCTTACTGGTGTACACTCACAAGTCTCTGCCTGCAGTTGATAATGTATGTACACTATGTGTGTGTGTGTGAGCAGTTAAATGGGGGAGGAGATGTAGCGATGCTGGAGCTGACAGGACAGAACTTCACTCCAAGTCTGCGCGTGTGGTTCGGTGACGTAGAGGCTGAAACCATGTACAGGTATGGATATTATTTGAAAAGATATCTATATAGGAAAAGGGAGTATAAATCCAAGAGGACTTGAAATGTCGGTTATGTATAATTTTACAGATGCAGATCATTTTATACTGGGAATTTTTATTTGCTGAATAGTTATAAACCGGGATCTAAAGTTCTTTACAATACATTTATTGTATTTGATTTAGATTTCCGTAACATACTTCAAATATTGTACTTCATTATTATATCTGAGAAATTTGAAATCCATATCAGTGTGAAAATTAATTCCTTTACTAAAATGTAAAATCGGCTTTGGATTAATTCAGTTTCAGTTTAACATCCGGTGTGTCACTTGTGAAAAAGAAGTACACGTTAGCATACTTTCAAAAGAAGTACTTATTACAGAAATAATACACTTTAATAGTATATACTGTGATAAGTGCAAACTGAATGTAATGTTTTGACCCACTTAATTACAACTTTAAATGCCATTTCATATGCCTGAAATATGGTTGAAATGTACTGCCAATTGTACCCATAAGTAATTTATGGTAAACTAAAATATACTTTAATGTCATACAAGACTTGTATGTCTGGTATTTAAATATATTAACAATTGTACATTTGTAATTATGATTGCAATTTAGGAAAGTATAACCAATTGCTTTAAAATAAAGTAAAACTTTGACACTATTACAAAGTGCACTTTTTAAAAGTGTACTTAAGTATGTTAAGAAACAGTCATTAAACTTTTATGTCATTAATATATTATCTGCAGGTATGAGTAATATTAATTAACGAAATTAGGGTTATGGTTTGATTTAGTTGCTTGTAATTATACATAATTTACTGTTATTACTCTAATAATTACATGAAAATGTGCAACAGGAACACTGCAAAATAAAATCTCCTAAAAATACTTTGAAGATTTGAAGTTCACTACAAATGGACATTCATAAATCGTTACAAACTTGTTCAATCTAACAGTAAAAGACATGTTAAGATTTGACAGGTCGTAGGTTGAATGAAGTGCCTCTGCCTTGTAAAGTTTGAAGTGAACAAGACCCCACATGTTTTGTTTAATCTGTATTAAATCCTTATGTAGTAGTTAAAGAAAAATATGTACTTTTATTACAAACATTGTAAAAACAGTGACAGACTGATAGACGTTATATTTCCTCTGAAGGTGCGGGGAGAGCATGCTGTGCGTCGTCCCAGACATCTCTGCGTTCCGCGAGGGCTGGCGGTGGGTTCGGCAGCCGGTGCAGGTCCCCGTGACGCTGGTCCGAAACGACGGCATCATCTACTCCACGACGCTCACGTTCACATACACTCCCGAACCCGGTCCCCGTCCTCACTGCAGCGTGGCCGGCGCCATCCTACGAACGGGCAACACCAGCTTGCTTTCCACGACCGGCAACATCGCGGGAGTGACCGGAGAAACGACACCCTACGGCTCCAACAGCACGTCTAACGCCGTCACAGCGTCGTCCTCTAACGCAGCCGCGGCTGTGGTGTTATAACACACGCAGCAGTGCTCACAAACTCACTACGAGCTATGCGTGAAAACAGAAGACTATAAACTGTTTGTAAAAGTGCTGCGTATTGAATTTCAAAAAAAAAGGCTAAATTGTGGCGAGGACAGCATATTTGAGAGATGGTTCTCCTGTGCCCTCTTGTGGTTTTTCTCTAAGGAGCCGGTTTGGTGCTAGCAATAGACAATGCCTGAGAGGAAACACCAGCACCTGTCAACGGGTGTAGAAGACATGGAGACAAGACCACAGCAATGATACATCAGCCGACTGAAAATCATGTTTAGTCTCCTACGTTTCTTCCTTCCGCTCTGTGTGTGTGCGATTGGGTGAGATGTATCATACCCTGGGAGGTCGAAACTCTTAGGAAAAGGGTCACATTGAAATTGTGAGTTGACAGTTTTTATGGACCAAGGATATTGTATAAGCTTTAGTAAAGGTACATTTTTGTTTCCCTCCATACCTTTTTTATATCAAACATTATAGTACGCTTTTGTTACCAAATAGGTTCTATTCCTCCTCTGAGCTTCACCTTTTTATTTTTTGTTTTTCTGTATATAGATGGTTCCATATACATATGTTCGCTTGGACTCCTTCAGTTTTGATACTTTGTGTTTTGTAATACCGTCCTTTTTCTTTTACATTCGGCTTTAGTTTCATTTTCCATTTGGGAGAAACTCAGAGGGCCTGTTTTTTTTATCATTCGTTTTTTATGAAGTCTTTAAAAAGAAAAGAGCTTTAAGCAATGCGTCTGCCTTGCCTGCATTACAATATGCGCTACGCTTCCTTTAAGCATTTCATCATAGATCGATGCGTCTAAATCTCACAAAAAGGAACAATGCCATCTTTCTGTCTTATTTGGGAATATAAACCAGAAAACACAATATAGAGGCTTTGGATGCAACGTGTCTCTTCGATGCGGTAGCCATAGTGCAGTTCATTTGCTCTAGGGCGTACATCCGGTTCTCACATATCAATTTCAGAAAGTTCACAGTAGTTGGATATTTGTAACGGTCAAGTTCTGACCCGAGTTTAGACTCCTACAGTTTTAGTGCCGTTTTATAATGTTTCCTTTCTAAAAATCAATTTGTTTGTCTTCCTGAACATCCATTTGCAGTTTCTAAAATTTGAAATGCTCTCAAAAACGGATGATTTGGAGACGTGCTCTACCATTAGATGTGGCCTTACTGGAACAAAGGTTCCCGCTTTAGTTCACCCCTTCAAAAGGAGGTTAACAAACGCGACCCGAGGAACCACGCCTTGCATTTTGAACATTTTACATGCGATTTTTGATATTTAAACTCCCTAAACTTCAATTTTTTCGTTTGGATTTAGAAGATCTAAATGTGTAATAGATACGAACATACCCAAAGATATTATATTGCATTGTTGTCTCTGTTTTTTGAATATTTGAAGAGTATGTTGAGAATTGTGGCCTCTCGCACACCAAAAGTAGGAAGCTTTACTTCGTTGGTCATTGATGTGTTTATCGTGGCCTTGGTGTCTCACCAACTAGTAGACTCCCAGACAGCAACATAGTGTCGGCCCAGATCCGGCCCACATCCACGCGGCCCAGATGTGAGCTGGATCTGGGCCAACACTATGTTACTGTCTGAGCTAGTATTAATGACAAAAAAAAAAAAAAAAAAAAAAAAAGCTGTAATGAACCCATCAACCAGCACTAATAGTGTTTTGTGACTTTCTTTTTTTATGTACAGTAATTTAACTTTTGAATTTTATGCATCCATTTGTAAAAAAAAAAAAAAAAAAAAAAAAGTAAAGAAAAAAAAGACCGAAAAAGAGAAACCATTCAGCCATTTTTTTTTTTTTTTTTTTTTTTTGCGTCTGTGGCTCTTAACCCCCAGTTATGTCCTTGGTGTTTCCCGTCAAAACGGTTGGGTGTTTAGTGTCCGAGTTTGTCCTTACCTTGTATGCTAATGTCCGGAATAGCAAATGGACATCATGGGACTAGAAACATGAATGGCCTTTAAATGTGTGTCTCTCAAATGTGTAAGCATACAGCAATACTGTATAGGTCACTTGGTCTTGGTCACTTGTGTCTTGGTCTGTGGAAATAGCCACTGATTTTTCACCAGCCTGATCCACAACATATGTGGTCATGAAGAACAGCTGGCTCAACTAGAGTCATATTCACTTTCTTTTACACTTCTCCTTCTTCTACTTTCTCTCCTTCATACTAATTTAATCCGACACCTTTTGCGTGGATCCTGCACTGTCTTCCTTGCTTGGAAAATCTGTAGTGTAGTACAAGTAGGCAACCCATCAAATAAGGCAATACTCCAGCATTGTAGGCCTACAATGTAGTTTATTTCGGGAAAAACTGTAACTTGAATGTTTCTGCAAAAAAAAAAAAAAAAAAAAAAAAGACAAAAATCACTCGTTGCCTCCACAAAATTTTTCTTTTCATCATTATCATCATCATCATCATCCGTATTTTTTTGTTAAAAATGACTTTATTCTGTCCTTGACGGACACTTTGCAAAAATCTTCCATGAGGTAGTTTAACCTAAAGCTCTTGCACTCGGTTTCCCAGAATTCTCGCGTCACAGTCTTCTTCCATTTTACCGTGTTCTTGCTATTCAGAATCATATAAGCGCACACTTCCATTTGGGGGAAGATGGCACTGGGCAAAAGCATGGATGCATTTTTTAACAGATATCTTGTTAAACGTTTACTAGCAGTCCATTTAATTTCACATATTTGATGGTTTTTTATTTGTCATTGTCATTTTGAGAGCTTCCATTCAAGCAATGTGCCCCCGACCCCCCCCCCCCCCCATTTTTTTTCAAGTGCTTCCCTTGATTTATATGGGATCACGACCCAAAAAAGACAAAAACAAGTGCTTTAAGCCAGTCCGCCTTGAAATGATACAGCATCATTGAAACATTTCCTACACAAACGAAAGAAAGCGATTAATTCAGACCGTAAATTCAGTTTGATTTTATCATGTTTTCGTTAGCACAGCACAATATATCATCATTTACTCATTTATATAGCGAGAACATTTCTGAACCGCTCCGTCATTCTGATTGCTGCCTCTGTTCCACGTTTTGTTTACATTGTGGATTTGCTCAGCTCTACCCCCATTTTAACGTGGTGTTATGGTGGTAAAGTGCGTTATGTTTCTTTCTGAACAAACTAATTGACAATCTTGCTGTTTTTTACAGTTTTTGAAGGTGTTGAGCTTTAGAATGAAGGATTTGTTCAAAGTTCAAACTGACGTGTTGAGCTGTGTATTTAAGTTGCACAGAAAATTGGAGGATAACAAAATCCATACATCTGCATTACATCATTTTTCTGTCAGTTATAAATCAATGGAAGAGCTCGAAACATGTTTTTCATGTAATTGTCCAAGGCATGTATGCAGAGGTCATGCGCCAAGCCTTAAAAACACATTTAATTGCAAATCTGAGTGAACAAATGTTTATAGTCAGTCAGTTGGTGTCATTTATGTCTATATGTTGGTTTTATAATTCTCCATTAACTTTGCTCTTCCAAAAACAACTTTTTTTTTTTTTGCTTAATGAGCTCCGATCAATGTATAGGTGATATGCCAAATGTCTTATAGTTAAATTTTCATGCACTGCTTTTCAAACATGGCACCAGAGGCAGCTTTTCAAAGATATCTCAATAGTTACGAGAGAAGGATGGGAATAAATGATTATGTACTGTTTACAAACAGTAGCGGTTCTCTAGTTCCATACAAAGAGCTTGAATCAGTCCTAACGTTGTCTTGCTTTGCCTTTTGGACGTGAACATTTAAGCAAAGGCTTAAATAGGGCACAACTTTTTCTCTTTTGCCATCGGGAGAGTTAAGTGTTGTACTGCATAGTATCAAGTTATTATGCCTCTAGGACAGTTTTAGTTTGGTAATTCACCCTTTCTGCTGGTTTTGCACTTAGAGAAAACCACATTTGTCTAGATTAGTTGCTTATAGTCACTTTTCATGTAAAGCAATCCTGCTGTGCCTAATTTGATGCTCTGTGCTAGGCTTTATGTGTGCAGCTCATCGCTTTCACTTCACGTTTGTCAGTGTCTTTTCCCCCCCCTTTTTTTTTCCTACTTGGTCTGTTCTAGTTATAATATTCAGAGGTATCAGTATGGTAGCAATCTCAGCCCTTAATGGGCCGCTGATGTTAGGATCATGTGCCCCAATGTGAAACAAGGAGAATTAATTCCGTTTCATTCGTCTGTATGTTTGATTTTGTACATATTGCACCTGCTCAGTTCATATGTCATTAAATAATAAAACTGCAATATTGGCATACAAATCTAGAAATAAAAGTGAGATTTATTTCCTTTTTTTATTTTTTTTTTACAACTGCAACTTCTTAAAAGGGTCATGGACTGCATTTTTTATATATATAACCTATGTTCTCTGAGGTCCACTTATTAATAATGTTATCAAGATTTTTCGGCATCAAGGCATTACCTAACCTGAGGTTCTATTATTGGGCAAATAGTATTTTTGCACATTTTTCAAAACAATAAACGTAAAATTCTGTTACTTTTTTTTTCACTTCAGCAATAATCTGCCAAGTGTCGTCTTTGAAAAGAGATCAAACTTCAGTCTGTGCTCTAAAGCATTCAAGATTTACGACAGTTTAAGTTGGAAATTTTATTTTCAGGTCTATGCTCAAAAAGTGATCAAGTTGATTATAAATACAGCGTAAAAATAATTTAGTACCATAAAATCCCCTAAAATGACAAAATATGAAATAAAAAACAAAAAAAACATTATCAAACTAAAATATAGTACATTCATTTAATTGAAATAAATTGCAGTCATTTTTGACCAGGGGTCAAAAAGAGGGTCAAGATGTTGCCTTTGTCCCTCTGCTGGCGACAAATATTGGTGAAGTGGAAGTCCAAAATGCCCCCTCACATTCTTTGGCTATCAGATGTTCTTTATTTTATTAAGTTTCCCTCAAGAAGTGGTCAAATAAGTTTTGGAAGTTTTGGAGTCCACTCTTTCAGTATATTAAAGAGAGTAATTTCTTATCCAGTCCTAATTAGGACAGTTGGGCCTGGCAGGGGAGTAAAATTTGGTTTCTGATGGTTTTATTACATA